TCTCATAAACCACTGGATGGATTTGAATGAAACTTTTGATGCTCACAAATAACTAGATAATGTCTGGAATCAACCCATTTCAAGATGGCCACCACAACCAACAGAGTGTAAACACAAAAATGGCAGAAAATACTGAGCTGAAATATGGTTTGTTTGTAGCTGAGCTTCATGTATAAAACATACTCCAAACACAACGTATGTCTTCCTTAAAACTTTGGCATAGACTGCTGGTGTTAATCCTGCCCGTCAACAAAATATCTTATGAATCACAAAACACTTTTTAAATAAAACTCTTGGAAAATAATCCTTAGGGTTTGGAGATAACCCAGTTTGAGATTGTTGCATGTAGTTAAAACTAGTCAACACAAAAAATGATAAAAAATCCGTTACTAAGCTAAAATGTAATGTAGCAGTGGCTAAGAGGCATTCACAATACTCTGAGTGTTACATCTTACTCAGTATTTATAGAAAGACTAATAAAAATAATTATTTTATTTGCAGTAATTAAAGGGGAAGAGCTTCACCTCCTCCAACAGACACAATGCATCCAAACAAAGCGCACACACTTTCCTGCGCTCCTCTCAGTGCACACACTTGAACACTGTCCACCTCGGTGCAAAATCATAAAAGCTCACAACTGCTGCCCTCAGGCCAGTTTTTACACAGACGAGAGCAGGTTTTTCAAAGAAGAATAGGCTTTTTTGTGTGAATGAACAAAGGGAATTTCCTTCCTCCCCTGGCTCTCTCTCCTCCTGAATCCTATCATATGGCACCGTGCGTCTCCCACACGCCTGTTTCTAAGTTACCAGCAGCATCGGCTGCCAATCCCCGTTTAATTGCCTCCTGTGTAAAGTGACAGCTGATGAGCAGCAATGAGGGGGAAGCTGTCCTCGCCTTTCCTCACAGATCACTCTCTGCTTCCCCTTTCAAGAGGGAGAGATTTCCACCTGAGAATTTTAGCTGCATCCCATCCACCTTCCTCCTTTGGGAAATTAAACAGTATTGTTGACCTAGACTGAAACTTCAGGAAATCAACAAAGAGGCTGGAGAGATATCACTATAATGGAGCATAACGACTTGCACAGTATTCTAAATTTAGAAAACTCACTCTGAGAAAAAGAAAATGGTGTAAGTTTGTGGAAAGGACATGCTGCGGATGGAGAAAACTTGCCAGAAATTAAAGTAAAGAACAGAAAAGGACAGTTTTGCTTTGAAAATGAGCACATTTCTTCACTAACCTTCTCCGATCCTGGAGGAAAAAGCCAAAGCTCCCCTGGTTCTCTGCCACCCTGTTGCTCCTCGTTCTCTGTTCTTTTGTTGAGTCTTCCTCACAAATAGTCCCTCCTCATCCTTACAGGGGCTGAAATGAGTAGCTCATGAAAGAAGCCAGGAACAAGAGACAGAAAACACACCAGAGTGGAGAAGAAACACACTCTTCTCACCCCTCAGTGGTGCTTGGCAGTGTTTCCTCATCCGTCAGAGCGCTGAGCGGCTGCAAGTGTGTGTGTGCAGAGAGAGGGAGAGAGGAAGGAAGATGAAATGATACTCATTGGGTGAGTGAGAGGGTGTGAGGGAGTTGGAGGGAGGAGGGTGAGCGTAAGCACTGGAGGGTGATCCTCTGTACAGTCTGAGCTCCTATTTGTCTCCCCGTCTGTCTCCTGAGCGTGCATTCCTTCCCGACAGAAGCCACAGGGTCAGCTGCTTTTACAGTAACGAGACTTGGTTTCCTCTGGAGGGAAAAGACTTCCTGTGTTAGTTCTCCACTCAGATTCCCTGATGGATGAAGGCATTCAGTTTGCTCTCTTTTTTTCTTTATTCCTTTATAAAGACTCCCTGCTGTAGTGCACTAATATTATCTTTAGACTCATTCCAGTCAAAGGTGGTGCAGTCTCCGCTCTCCTGTCTACGTTAAGAATGAACAACTCAAACTCATTAATTGTTCTTTGTAGCTTTGTGGATTAACAACTTCTTTCTTGATGTTCTAAATAATTTCTATGTGCTGCTGTAAATATTGGCCAGCATGTTGAAGAGTTAATTTTTTAAAGTTTTAATTAAATAGATGCCAGTTTTTAATCATTTATTCATTTCATTTAAAAATAAAACTAAAAAAGTTTATACACAAGAGAAAAAAAAATCACACTTGAAATGAAAGGAGGCNTTTACATACAAAATAAATAACTTTGACCCAAGTACAGAACCCTGTGGAACTCCACATGTGATATTACTAAGTTCAGATCTTACATCATTTATTTGTACAAACTGTTTCCTATTTTTCAAATAGCTAGATACCCACTGTAGTGCTGGACCTCTTATACCATATTTATCTAGTTTTTCAAGAAGAATATTGTGATTGGTGATGTCAAATGCTTTCCTTAAATCCACATAAATACTAACACAATACTGTTTTTGATCAACAACAGTTGTTATTTGTTCTGTAAGTTCCATGAGTGCCAGTTAAAAGTCTGCCATTTCTTTCTTGATTTTGACTCAACGGCCACATTGATTCAGAAACAGCCCCTCAAATCGAACAGTAAGTAAGCTCCAACAATGATTTTTCTAGGCATGACATAGCTCACTTTGATGACTTAGACTAAAAAAACATGTTAAATAGGCTGCCTTCAGACCCAGGCCTCCCTTGCAAAACAGATCTGTGAGCTCTGTGGGGGATCTGCCTGCTTAAATAATGGTTAATAATAAATTCAAATAAAATAAAAAATAAATGACTCTTGAATATCTTTGCTAACATCTGATCTTTATTCACTATGACAGTTGAGCTGAAGCTGTTGACCTCTGACCCCATGTGCACATAAGAGCAGTAGCCTACAAGTTCAGCTACTACTGCACATACTGTATACTGTATAAAATATTCCAAAGTTTATCTGAAGTCTTCAATAAATGCAGCTTAAATCTCAATATGTTTAGGTTGAACTTTTTTGTGCGTGTTGAAAACATATGGAGTTTCTACATCAGTTTAACAGTCATAATATCAGGAATTATTTCCCAGATCAGTAGTTTTGTTAGATTTATTGCTTCCTGATTTGTTTTGAAGGAGCTCTGCTGTTAAATTTGCAGATTGCTTTTCTTCCTTGGAGGTTCTTCTTTGTTGGTTTAAAAAATTTTGTTTCGCAGTTTTTTTACCAGTCTGACTCTTCACTTCTCGTAGTTAAACGTTTAGAAGGTAAAGAAAATGTGCCAATGTTTTACTTCTGTAAAGAGTTTTGATACTTTAAATCTGGCCTTTTGCTACTTTTACCTTCTAGCTTAAATATTATTACTTTTAAAAACATATCAAGTTGTAGGCTGTCTGTAACTTACATGGATTTTCCCTCATGTATAGAGCAATAGAATTTTTTCAAAATCTGTTTCAATTATTCTTTAACATTTCAGAGCCTGTAGGAGATACAAAAAACAACAAAAAACAATAACGTCAAATAACCATCTTCCAACCAACTCTGTCACTAGAAATAACTTCTCCACTTCTACTGTCCTCATTTCCTTCTGCTTTGCTTTGCTGTCATCTCTATGGCCAACAGTCTGTGTGAGCAAAAAGTGGATTTTTTGTAAAACTTACAGATTTTTGAGGCTCAATATACAAGTAAACATCCAAAGGAATATGTATGCTTTTAGCTGCAGTGTTTCTACTTTTAGTTAGCATTTTGTTACTTTTGTCTTTTAGCATTTTGCAACTGTTACCTAAAGTTTATCTATTTTTTTTTTTAGCATTTTGCGACTTTAACCTTTGAGCCAGTATTTTGCTGCTTTTAAATAACATTTTTCAAGTTTTACTTTTCAGTGAGTGTTTTGCTGTATTTTAACCTTTACAGTTTTTATTGATTGTTTGACGCAGCCTCAACTCAAAGCCCACATTTTCAAAACAGTTAAAGCAGAGGCCTAAACATTGGCACAGTGGTCAAAATGACACATTTTGTTTGCAAGAGGCAACAACTGTGTCAAAACATTTAAAATAAAGAACAAAGGCAAACTTTGCCTTCAAACAATTCGACTTTGACACAATGTATGAGCACCTCCCATCAATCATTACACAATGGGCAACAAAATACAAAATACAGCACTCATGTGTGAATCAGTGCACCATTGCTTGTCATTGTAGCATTTGACTGTACGTAGCTTACATGCCTGTGCCGTTTGTAGTCAAATTTGCCCTCTTGCAAAAATGCATCCAGAAGCCGATATGGTTTGATGCAAATTTTGTTGATTACATTCTTTTTTTTCAGACTGTGCCTGACAAATGAAATACAGTTTTTACTGATTGCTTTGACCTGTTTGAATAAACTCATCACCATCTCAAAAACAATCAATAAAAACTGTATTCCAACAGATGACACATGGAAATAAAAATAAAATCCTTTATTGTGTGAGAAATTAGGTAAATAAAAAAACACAGTCTCTTCCAGTAAAGAATAAAAATCTAGATAATCTAACTTCTTATTGATAGTAGGCCTTTACATTAGATTAGATTAGACCTTTATTGTCATTGTACAGAGCACAATGAAATTACAGTTCAGAACACACATTTAGAAGAAGACGGAACATAAACATGGGAGAACAGGTACTCTGGGTCATATTCCCACTGACCCTGCACAAAGCAAGGATCATCTTCATGAATCAATCATGCTTGAGTTGCAGTGCAGTTCTCACACCCTTCTGTTGTTTTTGTGTTTAAATAGAAAATAAACTTATCTTCTCATCACTTCCTCTTCTAAATGCCTTGAAATTGGCCNTTTAACAAGAGTCAACGTGAGCAAATACCAAGAACACAGGAGACCAAAACTTGAATAATAATAAAATGATTTGTTTATTTACACAGGGAGAGAGAAGTGGGGAGCGGGACCTGGAAGCAGAGGATTTGCAGAGGTAAGTAAAAGGTATCCAGGAAATAATGTTCAATAGGTAATGGCTTATGCTTACTGGTGAGGGCTTTGGGTTTAATACAGGAGAGGAGGTCCAGAGTCCAAAAATCCAAACGTGATATTTACAAGTGAGTGTTGTATTTACAGGTGATTGGGGAGGTGAAGAGGCAGCGCATGGAACAGGTGAGAGGCTCGGCAGGCAGGCAGACGTGACTGGGATCCAGAACAGTTCCAGGGTGATTTTCTTAATTCTGAAGACAAGTAAATACATAAAAACACGGAGGTTAGGCAAAACAGGTTTACAGAAACTAGTCACAGGCTGAGATCGTACCCAAAGCTGTTTGATGCTTCAGCGATGAGTTGATCCTCCAGTCTTCCTTTTAAAGCCAGCAGTGATGAGCCAGTTCCTATGCAGGTGCGTTCAATCAGCAGGTGCATTAACTCAGTGTTGCCAGATACGTGGAGAGGCATGAGGTGAAAATCACCAAAATGCCTCAGTACCTCCCCTTTAAAGATCACCTCCAGGCGATCTACAGCTTCTTCTCGGGATGTTCCCTGTAGAAGGTTGAGATGAGCGTAGGATCCAAGATGAAAGACCTCGGGATCCATGACCTCTCCTCAGGTCCATAGCCCTCCCAGTCCACAAGGAACTGGAGACCACGTCCCCTTTTCCTCACATCCAGAATCCTCTTGACTGTGTAGATGGGTTGATTATCCAGCAGACGGGCGGGTGGTGGGGTGTTGGTGGGAGGACACAGAGGACTGGTGGAGACTGGCTTTAGTTGGGACACATGAAAAGTGGGATGAATCTTCATTGAGGCTGGTAAACGGAGTCTGATGGCAGATGGGTTGATGATCTTTTCCACAGGAAATGGTCCGATGAACCTGGGTGCTAGTTTCCTGGGAAAATCTTTTAGATTAATGTTGCGTGTGGAAAGCCATACCTCTTGTCCCACCCTGTAAGATGGGGCGGATGAACGGTGTCGATCAGCAAATCGCTTGTTTTGTTGTGAAGTCCTGAGTAGTGCCTTCTGTGTTTGGTTCCAGATCTTATGGCAACGGCGGATGTGATGCTGTACTGAAGGGACAAAAACTTCAGTCTCCTCTCTGGGGAACAAAGGTGGGTTATAACCAAGAGATGCTTCAAATGGAGAGAAACCGGTAGCAGATGAGGAATGACAGTTATGGGAGTATTGTACCCAAGGTAAGTATGTGCACCAGGAGGAAGGGTTGATATTGATGACGCATCTCAGTGTGGACTCTAACTCCTGGTTGCACCTCTCGGACTGCCCATTAGATAGTGGGTGGTAACCAGAATTGAGGCTGACTGTAGCACCTAATGCAGAACAAAAAGCTTTCCACACCTGAGAGACAAACTGGGGTCCACGGTCGGAGACAATATCAGAGGGGATGCCATGAAGGCAAAAAAACATTCTTAACCAAGAGCTGAGCAGTTTCCAAGGCTGTGGGCAGTTTCACCAGTGGAACAAAATGAGCAGCTTTAGAAAATCTAACAATAGTGAGGATGACCGCGTTACCTTCAGATGGAAGTTGACCCGTAACAAAATCCAGGGCGATATGGGACCAAGGGCGGGCAGTGGACGTAAGAGACCAGCAGGTTGTTGGTCGCTGCTTTTATTAGTATCACAGACAGTA